CATGCTAGGTAAGCACTCCACAAAATGAGCTATATCCCCAGCCTCTCATTTGAGATCTTTGTTCTTTTTATTGTAGGCATTAAATAGTTTTACCTTGCCCTTAGATTTTTTATAGTGTTACAGAAAATTTGGTATATTGTTTCACAATTCTTTGTTTCTTCTAAGAATTTTTAAATATCTCCTCTAACAGTATTCCTTGTTCAGAAGACTACTGTTCAGGGGCTGGGTCTGTAGCTCAGCAGTTGAGCGCTTGTCTCACACATGCAAGGCACTGGGTTCGATCAAGGATGGAACCACATAAAAATAAATAAAGATATTGCATCTGTCTTCAACTAAAAAATAAATTAAAGAAAGACTACTGTTCAATTTCCAAGTGACTATGTGGTTTTTATAGTTTTTCTTGCTATTGATTTCTAATTTGATTTCATTTTCATCTGGTGGTAATATACAAAGGATTATCTTTTTAATTTTTTTTGTATTTGCTGAGACTTACTTTGTAATTAAAGTTCATTTTGGAATTGGTTCCATGAGCTGCAGAGAAGGTACTGTTGGACAAAATGTTATGTCTGTTAGGTCCATTTCACTTATACTATTATTTTGGTCATAAGTATCTGTTCATATAATGTCTGGATGACCTGTTTATTGGTGACAAGGGTGTGTTGAAATTGCCCAGTATTACCATGTTGAGATATCTGAATGTTAACATCAGGAATTGCTTTTTTCATGTAATTAGGTACACCAAGGTTGAGGTATAAATATTTACTATTCTTATATCTTCTTGTTGGGAATTTTCCCTTTACCTTTATGTTGTGACCTTCCTTGTCTCTTTTGATTAATTCTGCTTGAAGTGTGTGTGTGCTTTGTTGAATGTGAGAATAGCTACTATTGCTTGTTTTCAGAGTCAGTTTGCATAAAATATCTTTTTTCATTATTTTATTTTGACCTGTCCATGTCTTTGCCTTTCATGAGTCTCTTGCAAACAGCATTTATTTGGATCATGTTTTTAATCCACTTTACCAAGTCTGTGTCTTTTAATTCGAGAATTGAGGCTGTTTACTTTCGCAGTTGTTATGGAGAGGTGATTACTGTTTCCTGACATTTTGCTTTGTTTCATATATTGAATTTAGTCTTAATCTGTATTTCCTAATTTCTCTTTTTATGAGTGTCATCCATTCGGGAGCTTTAGGTTTGTTTTTGAGTTCTTCTGTGTATAGTATATATTTAAACATTTTGTGTAGTGCTGGCTCAGAAATCATGAATTCTTTTAGTTTATCCTTACAGTAGATAGTTTTTATCCTCTTCAGTTCTGAATAATAGCTTTGCTGAATATAGCAATCTAGTTTGACAGTTTTTTTTTCATTTTTTTTCCCAAGCTTTTTTCTCTCATTTGAGCCTTCTTGGATTTTAGAGTCTTAGCTGAGAAGTCAGACGTAAGCATTATTGACTTACATCCAAATGTAACTTGATGTTTTTTCTCTTGCAGCTTTTAATATTCTATTCTTATTCTCCATTTTGATTATGATTTCTCTTGGAAAGGTTCTTTTTTTGATCTTTTTTGTTTGGGGTTCTATATGCATGGAATATATGTTTTTAATATATGAATGTTAATGTCATTTGTAAGATTTGGACAGTTTTCTATTATTTTTGATAAAAAGGTTCTTGTACCATGAGCCTATATCTTCATTTCTTTTTCAATTGCAGTGACTCTCAAGTTTGATCTCTTCATGTTGTCCCAACATTCCTGTATATGCTTGTCATTGCCTTTTTTATTTACTGTGTCTGAGTGTTCAGGTTCCTATACCTGTCTTTTTGAAGCCTGAAGTTCTGTTTTCTGTGAAATCAAGTTTTTACATATATTTATTTTTTAGTTGGACACAGTATCTTTATTTATTTTTATATGGTATTGAGGATCGAACTCAGGACCTCACACATGCTAGGCGAGTGCCCTTCCGCTGAGCCACAACCTAAGCCTCTCATTAATCATTTTAATAATCATTTTTTTTTATAGATGTTCTCTGGAATGTCATCCCTAGTACTTCTTAGTTGGGTAATTATAAATTTGGTGTGTGTACTTGTACATCTGTTGAAACGAAGTTCTCTTTCTCTATTACAGAGAGGTCCTTTGTTGAATATCTGTTGTAATAAGTTATGTGCTTTTGGTATTTTAGCTTCGACACATAGGCTTAAGATGTAAATTTCAACCTCCAGTGGCTCTCAGTGTACCACTGAAGACCTGCTGGTGTAACTCAGCTGTGCAACAGTATGTTCCATGAGATGCAGTGTTGTAGCCTCTGCCTGTTTTGTTGTAGAAATAGATGTCCACGAGTGGGATCCGAGCTTACCTTCCTATAGCCTTTTTTACTTATGGCCTGGTTGTTGGTATGGGGCTTTTGTTATCTATTCTTTGTGTTAAAGGATTGTTGAAGCTTGAGCCAGGGGTATTTTATGTGTGGAGCAAGATGTGCTGTCTTTTGACTGGATTTAGTTTACCAACAGAGTCTGTACCTTGTGAACTCATAGGATCCTAGTGGATTCCCAACAACTCATAAAAAGGGGAATACACACACACACTCGAAAAAAAAGTGAATAATATGCAACATTAAAATAAATATCTGTTGCCTGCAATGGCATGTATAACACTACTGCAAAAACAAGAATAGCAGGTCAACAATTAACAGCAATAGTAGTAGACGACAGTGAACTAGGTCTAGCATTAAAATAAATAGCAGGCATTAGCTACATCATCCACAGTACTAATAACTGTGACAGTGTGAATGGTGGGGGCAGAAATTATATAAACTAAAGAGGTCTAAAATACAGTAAAATTATAATTCATTAGGAGAAAAGAAAATGGGGTAGTAGAGCAAAAGAAATACTCAATATAGAAAGAGAAATGAAGTAGCAGCTAATGGAGAACAAGAGAACTTGGGTATTAGAGGGAGAAGAAAGAAAAAGTAAAACGAAATTAAATGGAAAAAAACAATATGTATGTGTATTTATTCATAAACTAGTCAATCAGTACAGCGAGAAAACCATACAAAGAGGGGAAAAAAAAGAATTATCTCCACCGAAGTCAAAACTATCAACAAAAGGATGGATGTTCACTGCCTATGCCATAACTGCCTTATTTTCCATTTCTTCTTTGGATTTGCACCCTTTGCTGAGGAATTTAAACCTTTGTTCTTTTTTTGTTGCTACTTATCAAGCTGCCAGCTGGAGTTACATGGAAGGCAAACCTGGTTGAATTAGTCTTCAGCTTCCCTGATTACCAGTAGGATAGAATGGGAAGTATTGTCCATTGCAGTTTCATCTGAACAGACTAGATTGATATCCTCCCTCTTTGGGGCTGATGCTGAATTCTAAATAGGAAGTTCTATCAACTAAGTTTTAGCTCTGATCATACCCTTGGGAACTTTGTTGGGATGGTATCTGCTCCTGAGAGAGTGAATCAGCACATCTCTAGGACCAGGTGGATGCTCATCTCTTCTGGCTGTCTCCATCTCAGGGGTGTCCTGAGAATTCTACTTTGTAACCAACCCCTCACAGGTATCACTACACTGCCCACACATGCACTGCCTTCCCAGGCTTAGGGTCTGTATTTGTGTTTGCTGGTTAAGTTTCTAGATCAGCAAGACTCAAAGGGAAGCATGTTGCATTCCCCTCTATATCTCTAACCTGAATAACCCTGGGTACAATCTTCTCTGTGCTTGTTTCAATTGCATTCTGCTAGGTACACCCTAGGTAGCACAGTGGGTGCTTGCTGAGGATATGACAATATTTCTTATAATTTCCTGGGCTTCTACAGCAATAAGCTGCATCATGACCTATTCAAGATGGTTCCCTGCTGCAGCACTTCACTTGCCACTTGAGAAACATAGAGCACTTTTCAAACACCATCTGGTGTTAATCCTGTGGTTCATCCAAATTCGGACTATTCTATAGTTTGTCCCATGCCAAATTTTTCCACTATTTTTCCTCTACTTTGTGTTACGCCTCTCCTCTGTGGTGAAATGTCATCACTGCTACTGCCTGCTTGGCACCAATGTACTCGTTTTTGTCCTATGTCCAAATCGCCTGAATTTCTGGATCTCTATTAAGTCTTGTACTGTCCTATGTGAATTTCAGTGAATTCTATCACACAGATTGCTGAATCCCAAGCCCTGAGACAGCTGGAAAGTGTTCTCTAGTCCTTTGATCTCCATATTTACTTTTTTATTGATTAAAAGCAGTGATTCTTAAACTCGGAGGAATATTAAAATAGATCACTAGGCCCCCTGCCATTGTAATTCAGTAGGTCTAGGATAGCCAGAGAATTTCCATTTCTAATAAGTTGATACTGTTAGTCTAGCATCCCCTAAGAATTGGTATAGATGATTTGTAGGGGAATTGTCCCAAGACACCCCATAGATACCCTATACATATTCTTTTCATTAGCTTTAAATTGCCTGATGATTACTTAATCACTTAATGCAACATTAAATGATGTATAAATAGTTATTATACTCTTGTTTAGACAGTAATGACAAAAAATTGCAGGTTTAATAGAGATATAATTTTCTCTTCAAATGTTTTTTATTCTGTGGTTGATTTAATCTACAGAGGATGAACTCAAGGACATAATAGGCCATAATATCTATATCTATGTCTATATCTATATCTATAATCTATCTATATGTATATCCATTTAATTCAGTCCAGAATTGTGTTTTCAGAGTTGTATATTTATTCATTTGATACATCTAGACTCCAATTTGATATATGACTATGTTATATTGAAGATATTTTATTGTCATTTTAAAACTTTTTTATTAAATAAAAAGCAGGGGGATATGAAAGAAGTTAGAAAAAAATGTTAAATCTGTGTCATGAGTATATTGAATACAATGATAAGACCTATTTTTGAATGTTTGAAAATTTCCTTCAATAGTAGTTTTTAAATAAATACAGTGTTTCTTTATATAATGTTGATATAACTTTATTCATAATTGGCTTTTTAATAGAGTAAAGACAAGATTGCATCTTACAGCAAAACTCCAAAAATTGACCGAAGTGATGTCGGCAAGGAGATGAAGGAGAAATCATCCATGAAACGTAAACTTCCTTTTACTATTAGCCCATCACGAAATGAAGAACGAGATTCAGACACAGGTAAAATAAATTGTTATTTTCTGGTAAAATCTTACTTATTTCCATACTGTGATTTTTCTTTTCATATGTATCACTCTTTTTGGTACCCCAATTTATAGAGAAATATTTGTATTATTATGTATGATTTATTATTTATTAATTATTTATGATTTATTATTTCGAGGGTATAAATTCATTCATCACACAAATGTGATTTTTCACCAGAGAGAAGAAAAATTTATTCTTTACTCTCTTAAGAATGGTGAAGTTTTGCTCAGTTAATAAGTATTCACTAGAATATAGTAGATTTGGAAAAAAAGTTTTGTGGACTGATGGAACATACCAAAGAACACCAAAAAAGAGACTGACTGCTATTCATAGGATGTTTGTTTCTCAAAATTTGAAATCAGTCAATCCAAATTATTCATAATAGGTGGATCCACTATCTAATATTACTACTATCTAATAAGTTACCAGGTTGTACTGTAGCCCTGAACTAAACTAAAAAAACTATTAATTTTTAAAAATTAATGTAAACTTCAATATATTTGTCACAGGTGTTCTGTTCCTTGTGTGAAATATTAATAAACTTTCTTAAAAATGTTTTTGCTTTACTTTTAGAATGTTAGTGTTCCATTTTGAGCTTATGTGCAGAGACTTTTTGGGGGAGGTGGGCACTGGGAATTGAACTCAGGGGCACTCGACCACTGAGTACTGAGCCACATCCCAGCCCTATTTTGTATTTCATTTAGAGACAGGGTCTCACTGAGTTGTTTAGCACCTCTCTTTTACTGAGGCTRGCTTTCAACTCGTGATCCTCTTGCCTTAGTCTCCTGAGCCGCTGGCATTACAGGTTTATGCCACCACTTTGAGCTCTGTGCAGAGATTTTATCCTACTGGTATCTTTTTAGAAAACTTTAATCATCAATACCAAAATGGTCTTAACTCTAGAAATTATTGAAAATACTCTGAAGATTTCGAAACACCTTGTGCTACCATAGCTTTAGTAAATACTCAATTTTTAGTGTACACCTTTAGTAAATAGATCTCCTTCTGTGTATTTCACTGTTTTTTAGTTTGAATTGGAAATTGTTCTCAGTCATGACATTTTTAAACCTCAAAGTGTATTCTTTCTTGCAGAAATTAAGAAACGATGTGTTTTGTTCATTTTAAGTTGCACTGGTTTCTTCTAGAGATTCAGAAACTTTTTTCTTGAACCCCAACTCTACTTCAGTGGTCTTCTAAAACTACCACTAGTCAGGTAGCCAAGAAGTCGTCTTGTGCCAGATACTGTATTTCACTGCATTAATTTTCACAGCTGATTTTATGCCTTTTTTTCTTTTTGTCAAGAAATGGAGTATGACATTGTGTGAAGACGTTTATTTTTTAAATTTTTTTGGGGGGGTACTGGGGATTCAACTCAGGACACTTGTCCACTGAGCTACATTACCAGCCCAGTTTTTGTGTTTTWTTAGAGACAGGGTGTCACTGAGTTGCTCTTAGCGCCTTCCCATTGCTGAGGCTGGCTTTGAACTCATGATCTTCTTGTCTTGGCCTCCCAAGCTGCTGAGATTACAGGCATGCGCTACCGTGCCCAGCCTAGGATTTTTATGTTTTTTTTTTTTGAGAAAAATTGTGCCAATATTACTTACAAATCATGTTATTACTAAATTATCTTTTGTCCAAGAATAGGATACCTAGAATACTTGTGAATATACCTCAATGCAGTGAAATATGATAATAATATTTTAGTCAAGCTGCATGTATGATGATGATCCTACAACATTATATCACCTAATGATGATGTAGCCTTTTTGCTTTGTATATGGGCACTCTATGAATTTGCATAACAGTGAACTCTGTTAATGGCTCATTCCTCAGAGCATCTCCCCATCCTTAATTGTTGTATAACTGTATGTGTCTTCAGATACCTATTAAGGATTTAACCCTTCTCATATTTTCTTTTTGGAAGCCCCTTTGGTGAACAGTGATATTTTCTGATATTAGTTTGAAGAAGGAGGTTTGTTAAAATCAAATATAGTTAACCATTTAAGGAGAAAATGTTACTAAGAAACAGATGAGAAAATGTTACATAGAAGTAAACTAACTTCACTGAATAAATATAATCTGATTAGAATTTAATCAAATTATATACTTGTCTTCCTGATAATTTTTCCAGTTAGTGGAATGAAATTACAGCTCTCTTTAAGAACATTTCATAACACCTGGTTGTGTGAGACACATTTGTTATCCCAGTGGCTTGGAAGGCTGAGGCAGGAGGATCACAAGTTTAAAGTCATCCTTAGCAACTTAGTGAGACCCTGTCTCAAAATAAAAAAATAAAAATAAAAATCGGCTGGGGATGTGGCTCATTGGCTTAGATTTCCTGGGTTTAATCCCTGGTACCCCCCCCCCAAAAAAAAAGAGGAACAAACAACATTTCATAACTCCTATTTTTGTTTTAGAAAAGTTATATGAACTCACCAAAATTTTTTTAATTTGTTTTAATGACAGTAGAATGCATTTTGACACATTGTATACAAATGGAGCACAACTTCTCATTCATCTGGCTATATGTAGTGCAGAGTCACACCTAGGGTAATCATACATATAAATAAGGTAATAATGTCCATCTCTTTCTACCATCTTTCCCATTACCACACACCCTCTCTCCCTTCACTCCTCCCTTCCCAGTCCAAAGTTCCTCCATTCTTCTGTAGCGCGCCCCCCCCCCATTATGGATCAACATCTGCTTATTAGAAAAAAACATTCTACCTTTGTTTTTTTGGATTTGGCCTATTTCACTTAGCATGGTATTTATCCTACTCTATCCATTTAATTGCAAATACCATAATTTCATTTTTCTTTAAGGCTGAGTAATATTCAGTTTTGTATGTATAGCACATTTTTTTTATTTATTCATCTGTTGAAGGGCATCTAGCTTGGTTCTATACTTTAGCTGTTGTGGATTGAGCTGGTATAAATATTGATATGGCTGCGTCACTGTAGTATGCTGATTTTAAGTCCTTTGGGTAAACCGAGTAGTGGGGTAGCTGAGTCAAATGATGGTTCCGTTCCAGGTTTTCTAAGGAATCTTAGTACTGCTTTCCATAGTTATTGCACCAATTTGCAGTCCCACCAGCAATGTGTAAGTGTACCTTTTCCCCCACATCCTTACCAACACTTATTGTTGCTTGTATTGATTATTGCCACTCAACTGAAATGAGATGAAATCTTAGAATAGTTTTGATTTGCATTTTTCAAATTGCTAGAAATGTTGAACATTTTTTCATATATTTGTTGATTAGTTGTATAATTTCTGTGAAGTGTCTGTGTACTTTCTTAGCCCATTTATTGATTGGGTTATTTGTTCTTTTGGTGTTAAGATTTTTGTGTTCTTTATATATCCTGGTGATTAGGGTTCTATCTGATGTGTGTATGGTAAAGATTTTTTCCCATTCTGTAGGCAATTTCTTCACATTACTGATTGTTTGCTGAGAAGAAGCTTTTTAGTTTGAATCCCTCCCATTTATTATTGTTGATTTTATTTCTTGTGCTTAGGAGCATCATTAAGGTAGCCAGGTCCTAAGCCGACCTTGTGAAGATTTGGGCCTATTTTTTCTTCTATTAGGCACAGAATCTCTGGTCTAATTCCTAGGTCCTTGATCCACTTTGAGTTGAGTTTGTGCAGGCTGAGAGATAGGGGTTTAATTTTATTTTGTCACATTGATTTCCAGTTTTCCCAGCATCATTTGTTGAAGAGACTATCTTTACTCCAGTGTATGTTTTTGGTGCCTTTGTCTAGTATGAGATAATTGTATTTATTTTGGTTTGTCTCTGTGTCTTCTATTCTGTACCATTGGTCTATATGTCTGTTTTGGTGTCAGTATCATGTTGTTTTTATTACTGTATCTCTGTAGTATAGTTTAAGGTCTGGTATTGTGATGCTTCCTGCTTTGCTCTTCAGGCTAAGGTTTGTGTTGGCTATTCTGGGTCTTTTTTTCCCCCCAAATGAATTCCATGATTGTTTTTTCTATTTCTATGAAGAATGGCATTGGGATTTTAATTGAAATTGCATGAAATGTATATATTGCTTTTGGTAATATGGCCATTTTGGCAATATTAATTCTGCTGAGTCAAGAACATGGAAGATCTTTCCATCTTCTAAGGTCTTCTTTAATTTCTTTTTTTAATGTTCTGTAGAGGTCTTTCACTTCTTTTGTTAGATTGATCCCAAGTTGTTTTTTTTTTTTTTTAGGTTATTGCAAATGGGGTAGTTTTCCTAATTTCTTTTTCAGAGGATTCATCACTGATGTATATGTACATTTGATTTATGTGTGTTGATTTTATATCCTGTTACTTTACTGAATTCATTTATTAGCTCTAGAAGTTCTCCTCTCTAAAGTTTTGATGGACTTATTAAATATGTATTGATTAGGCTGAGTTTATAAATCTTGCTTTTTATATGCCACACACAACCAAGACATTAAGAATTTTTGTAGGCCCAAAACAGTGTAACTGTCTTTTATTTATTTATTATTTATTTTTTAATTTTTTAAAAAGACTTTTTTTTTTTTAGTTGTAGTTGCACACAATAACTTTATGTATATGTGGTGCTGAGGATCGAACCCAGGGCCTCGCACATGCTGGTGAGCACTCTACCACTGAGCCCCAGCCTCTTTTATTTTTTATTTTAAAAAATGAGAAAGAAATCTCAAATACTATTAATCTATATCTTACATATGAAAAGTAATATAACATCAAAATTGTTTAACATTGATTTTTATTTATTTATTTGGTGGTACTGGCAATTAAACTATTGAACCCAGGGTGTCTCTACCACTGAGCTACATCCCTAGCCTTTTTTTAAGTTGCTGAGACTTACCTCAGACATGGCAGTCCTCCTTCCATAACTCCCAGGATAGCTGAAATTATAGGCATGTACCACCCCACTCAGCTTGATTAATTTATCAATGGTAATCAGAGAAATGATTCATAATAATTGATAAAATTACTACCCAATGATTTTTTAAGCAGTTATTGATGGAAGCAAATTTTTATTTTTAAGAATATATCTTATATAATAAAAGAAAATCCTCCCTCCAAACTAGGAAAATAGTGTCATAAATAAAGGATTAGTTAAATTATGGTAAATCCAGTGAGCAAATAGTTTTTTGCACTGAAAAATAACATCAGAGAATGCATGGTAGGGAAGACATTTATGTTATTGGAAATGAAAACCCAGGTCAGGAAATAATATATAGTGTTTCATTGCATTAAAATCATTGGTGTGTTTATATGCATATACATATGTGTACAACATATGAACACACATATGAAAAGATAAAATAAAGACTTGAATATGAAAGTCATTTTCACTGTAGGAACTAAGCCTAATGTTGGTGGGTATATTTTGGGTCCACATCAAAATATAAAGGTTTTAAACCCTGATTTGAAAGAATGAAAGAACAGGAAAATGGGAATAATGGCAAGAATTAATACTAGTACTTGGCTTATATTCTCTTATAGCAAGGTTATGTGTATATTTGTCTGTATCTTAGTATACACTGTCTCTAACAGAATAAAAGCAGTTTCTTTTATGTTGGAGTAATATAAAATTAATAAAATTAATCTTTTTAAGATGTGCATGTGTGTGTGTATGTATGTATGTTATATGCTTTTTCTTACATAAATTTTATTTCTTCCTATGTCTTCTCCATTAGTCCCTGTGTCTTTGTATATATTTAGAGGTATGCTTGGAATGATGTTCACCAAATGTTTATACTTTATTCTCAAGGGTTAGGATGTTTGTTAATTGCTTGTTTCTACTCTTTTTTTGTAGGTTGGATATTTAAAAAATAAGCATATCTTTACGTTATCTTTTGTAAAGATGTTTGCATGGAAGGCCCTGGGGTCCCTAAATCAGCAATAATGCCATCAACTAAATGAGGAATTTTTGGTCTTATGATAACCTAGTGTGTTTAAAACTTTGCAAATTTTTAATTATTTAATAATAACTTTTTGAAAAGATAAGTCTTTCTAGAAAAGTAGGTGGTTGGCTAGACGGATAAAATGTTGGAAAGAATTATAGCATAATTTGAAGTCTTTCCAGTGGGTCCTTGTAGCTAGCTACATGATAGTACCATTTATTCTGAATTACTTTCTTTCAAAAAATCACCAACATATCTGTTTATATTGTTCCAGTATCTATCCATGTTTTCTTATCCTGTGAGAAAATTCCTACAATTTTTGTTGTATGGAATACTAAGAAGCCAATAGATAGAGTGAAGACCCATTGAACATATGGAAGCCTAAAAGCAACTACTACTGATGTAGAAGATATTATGCTTCCCATATCAACTTGCTTCATTGCTTATTTTTAGCTTTTGAAATTTATTTTCAAACTGTCTTCTTCCAAACTCTTGACATAAGATAAATTTTTATAGCTGTAATGGAGATAAATGATAATAGTGTTTAATTTTGAAGATTTTGGAATCTGACCAGTATCAACACTGGCCAGTTAATTTTACTTCTTAATAAGCCCCAGTTTTCTCAGCTGCTTGTAATATCAGCCTGAGAAAATTGTGATCTTTAGGTGACATAATGCATGAATTCACTTTGTGATATGTTAATTAAACACAACAAAACAGATGAATACCATCTTAAACAGATGGGGATTTTTAAATTTAATGCAGTGAGAGCACTAGACTTAGGCAGTCCAGAGTCAGTATAGTAGCTCAGTAACACCAACTGATTCATCTCTCTGCTTTCCTTTTCTTGAGCAGGAGACTTGAAGTGACAGGATTGCTGCTTTTTCCTAGGAGAAAGTAGAAGGTGAAATAACCCCCAAAAGGTGTCTTTTTCCAAGTGAGACTTGTCCTTTTTATTGATAAAACAATATCTCTAAAAACATCTGTCCATTTCATTGGTTAGGCCACTATAGTTACAAGGGAATCTGAAAGTCAAGTACTTTTAACTAGGCATATTGACACCCTGATATTAATTGGGGTATTCTGGGAAGAGGAGGAGAATGAATGTTGAGTAGGCAGATTATAATATCCGCCACTGTATTGTATATAAAATCTAATCAATAACTACTAACTTTAGCAATTAAGTTTTTTAACTTTATTCTTGAACTGTTAGTCATAAAATCATACTTCTTTCCCTATCTCCTACATCCAGGGAAAACCATAATCCCTTAACATAATGTCATAACCCTCATGTGAAAGTATTAAGCTGCTTTCTGGGGGCTGCATAAAAGTCTCCTTTTGGGCTCCAAACTAAATTCACAATTATTTCATTATGAATGATGCCATGAAGATCATCTTTATAGATTGTGTTTTTGTCCTATTCTGAACTATTTCCTTATCAAAAATGGGAACAATTCTGTGATTCTTCATGTTTCTCCAAAATAATCTTACCTAGTTTTAAAAGCTTCCATCAGTATATGAATGTTGTTAGACTCAGTGTTCTTTAAGTATTGGGACATATGGTTTTCTTTAGGTTTGATAGATTTTATATCCTAATGAAGTAAACAAGCAGTATTTCATAATTTTAATTAGCATATTTGAGTAACTAGAAAGATATAATATGCTTCACTGTTTAAAATTTAATAATTGTCTCCTCTTACTAAGTATTATTTGTTTACTATAGTTTTTTCTTTTGGCATGTTTAGATAATGTGATAGGAGAAAATTCAGAGACTCAGTATGATCTTTTCCCAAAGTCTCTGAGAGCAATTGTAGAGCATGTTGAGATTTCATAAGCTTTTAACTTTCTCTGCCAGATATCCAGTTTTAGACGTTCTATTCTCCTGAGGCCTTAGATGCCATTAAAGGAGTTACCTTACTTAATGGAATTTAAACAAATTGGCAGAGGTTAACACTTTTAAATAGAGAACTGTGTTAAGGTAGCAGGTAAAGTCAAATGTTCTATTCCTGCCCCCTTCCTAATGTTTTATTATAAAAAGTTTCAACCTGTAATTCAGACTTTCAAAATCATTCTTGATATTTTTCTCCTATGCTACTATACTCATAAAGCAGAGTATATTCACTTTAAAAAAGATTGTTTTTCAATCTTTGGCTTCTCTTGCCTTCCGTAAAGAACTCATTAGGGTGAGAGAATTGCTCTGCCTAACAGTTCTTTACATCAGTCTCAAAGACAAATAGCAGTAGTCTCATACAACCTCATCTCAGTAGAGCATGGACCAAAATAATAGTTATTTTTCAGCTCCTGAAGTAAATCTTTACAGAATACATGTTTGAGTGCTACAAATATAAACATACTTATTCAAATGAAAGCTAAAGGAGGGGGTATTGGGTCAGAGTGAGTTGCTTACTTCTAAAGGAAGAGTTGGTTGAACTGTTAAACTGCTTCCTTGCATTAATGAATATAATTGAAAGTTCATTTTATCCACTGTGCTTTAATATGTTTAAATAACATAATCTGCTTTCAATAACCATTTAATCTGGTTGATATAACTTAATTGGTTGCCACCTTTTTTTTTGCTTTGAATGTATGGAAGCAATTTTCAGTCTCTTGCTTGTCTTCATATGTAATGTAAAATACTGATTTCATGGAATTCTTGTGCTTGCCAAATTAATGCCTTCGATTTTGAAATGCAAGTTTCTTTAAAATTATTATAATACAGTCCATCTACTTACTTTAGAATTGGTCTAAATATTCTTAATGATTACACTTTTGAATGAGTGAACCTTCTCATCACTAAACTTTTAGGATTATCTTTAAAAATTCCAAATACTCTGTTTAGGGGTTACTTTTTTGCTGTTTGTGTTTTTCAACACTTGGTTACTTATACCTTAAATGAAATCATGAATCCTGTCTATCAGAATGACCCTGGAAAGAAAAATGTATGTCCATAAATTGATGATATGATTGCTCAGAATAATAATATTGTGAGTTGAGATGCCACATTATTTAAAAGTTAAAATACATGCTGTGTCCAAATCAACAAAATCAGTTCTTCATATTCTTGTTTCTGTGTCATGAATTGTTAAGGAGAATTCCATATTCTTAACTAATAAACTTTGTTTTGATTTCGATTGCTTTTTCCCTAAGATTCTTCAGTAGTATCTCTAGTACTTCAGTCTATTGAAATATTTGTTATGGATAGAAGGTCTTCCATCTTACATGATACTGCAGTCCAAAGTGTTTTTATGTCTTCAGAGTAGTTTTGGCACTCAGAACAAAAAGTATGATTCAAGTTAATCAAAGACAAATTCTGAAGAGAAAAATCARTGATGTAGGGTGCTGCCTGTTACTGTTATTCAGAGATTGCAAAAAAAGATACAGCATAAAAGATTTGTGTTTTAATAAACAACTTAAGCAATGTCTGTTATTAAAACTACATGTTTGAATTTCTTAATTTTAAGAATTCCATTTGAAGAAACTGAAATCTTAGGTGGTGGCCAAACCTGTGTTTTGAATGTACTTTTGGCTTTACCTTAAAAATAATTTTTGGAAAAACAATAATAGATCATTGCCTAACTAACTGATGGTCTTTTAAATAATGTTGGTTTGTTGAATTCTGTATTTCCCTTCGTGTGCCTTTTTCTTTTCTCCTGTCTCTTCTCATTCTGTAGATTCAGACCCAGGACATACAAGTGAAAATTGGGGGGAGAGACTTATATCTTCTTACAGGACATATTCAGGTAATTAGATTATCAGGTGCTCATGTTCAGCGAGTGGTTTCTGTTACATTTACAGTTAAGCATTGTACTATACATAACTTATTTTCAAACTAGTAGTTATATAATTTTTCTGAGAAATCTAGTATATTTTATCTTAACACATGTGTAAGAACATTTTAAAAATACCTCCACTTAAGTTTTGTATAACACAATATGAAGGTACCATTTATTTGGAAAACAGTATGAAAGTCAATCCCCTTCCCTGGTGTTGGACCTCTGTGTGAAGATAGCCAAGGGCTTTAATGTGTTTGTTGTATTTCCATCACTAGGTACACCAAGTACACTGAGTTCAATACACAGTTCCTCTTACCCTTTAGTCAAATAATGTTCATTTAAAAGCACATTTAAAATTTTTTCCATTGTACTCTTAACTCATTATTGACTTTGCTGCCCAGGTTGAATTAAGTACATTAAAATAACAGGTTGCTTGGAGAAATGCTATTACCATTAATTGTTAGAACCTCTCTATTTGACTGTGGCACCAGTCATTATATGTTACTGATTTATAATTACTCCATATAAAAGAAGGCCAAAGAATATATAAGTACTACCCCTAAAGCTAGTTAAGTGTTTTGATTATAGTATTTTTGTTTTTAAATGGGCTCATGTACTTATTTCTGAACTTTTTAAAATGTAAATATTGTTAAGTCCCTGGGTATGAAACTGAGATAAAACTTTTATGATGTGCTTTTTATTTATTTTATGAATTTGTGGGGGCTTGGATGGAGATAATAGCAGAACTAAACAATTATCCTTAAAATTATACTGATAGTTATTAATTGAAATGTGGTATTAAGTCAGTCATTTTTTATTACAAAAATTGAGTGGGGGTTATATTTACAATCTAGTTACTATGGAATCAGGCCTGCCTTTAAGAAAGGTACTAAAAGGTATACTTAAAAGAGCTAAATGTGATGAAGCCATTCATGATCTGAGTTGTAATTGCTGAAAATAAGTTATAGTATTGACATTCAGAGGTTACAAATTCACAGTATCTTAGAATCAGACCAGAATGGCAAATTTTGTTTATCAGAATTGCAGTATGCACACTACAAACATGATTGATAGAAATATGTTTTATCTGTTTTTAAATTGTAGCTTCATTATTATTTTTTTACAGTGACTGCTTTGTAGGGAAATATCATATTCATTTAGTTTTGAACCTAGTTCCCCAAGAAAAATAGAATAGTTTTATCTTTTCATAATGTACTTTACACTTAATTGGGAAGTAACAATATTACTTCTGCTTATTTTGGCAAGACCTGAAAAGAAAGCATACATTTTACAAATTATAAAACTGGGACATCTCTCTTTTTCTGGAGCACCTCTGATGTTGAAAGAAAGAAGTTGTGCTGATGTGAAGTTCTTTTTTTTTTTTTTTTTGTCTTGGGTAGTCTAAATAAATCTGTCAGGTTTTTCCTTCAAATCTCTAGGCTAACAATAGAATTTCAGGGCTCTGTAGACTATGCTAAATGCTTTATAGTTATACCTGGGTTTAAATTTTGAAGTTGTAGTCTGTTATGAAGAAAAAAATTTTTTAGAATAACTGAAAACTGGAGAACTGTTGTATCATTTTTTTTACTTATGACACGTTAGAGGAAATTAATTATTCATACAAGATACTGAAGAGTCAAAGTCTTATTGACTGCATTAAATTTGAAAACAAAATCACCATATTTTGGTACATAATAGTTGTAGCATTTAAAATTTTTGAATAGTATACTGATCTCACACCCATCTAACTTATACCAGCTCCTGATCACTTCACCACCTTTTTCCAATTTATGGAAAACATGAATTCAGACCATACCTGTCCTTTAAAGTTAATTCATCTAATTAGAATTTTTGCTTAAATGTTTGGAGTATTCCAACTTGTTAATTCTTTTCCAGGGTATAATGAGTTTATGTTTGATTATTTGGCAGAACGGAGTTCTGTTAATGAGCTTATGTTTTCTGTACCCCAGGTATATATTACTTTAGTGTCTTTTATAAAAAACTGCAGTAAAATGCAGAAAGTATAAAAAAAAGTTAGCTGTATTGTCAGTTAAAAAAAAAAGACAAATTACTCCCTCTCCCAAATTTTAGAAATCATTTAAAGGATAGATACTAAGAATTTTTTGTTTCTGCCTATGATTAGATTTTACTTCTTTTCCTTGAAACATCTCGTCTGCTTTTTGTAAAATTTTTACAATATTTAAATTGTTTAATTATAGTAGAGAAATGTTTATTATATTTAAAATGTTTATTTAGCTGAAAAATCATTAAAATAACAATAATTGTAGTGTTTCCTAAATACTAGAAAACCAAAATGTACAGAAACTTATGAGAAAGAATATACATTGCAGGTAAAACAATAGCCTGTTTCAAAGACCTGTTTAGGACTTTATAATAATTGTAGTAATAGGTTAAAAATTGTGCTTAGATTGGATTTATACTAAATTGGATCATTATTGATAATGAGAAATATGAAAATTAAAGATTATATTAGAAATATTTTAAAAAGTTGATTTTACTAAGTCTTGAAATGTTTGGTTTTATGTAAAACAAAAGTTTAATACAGTGGTTGGCTATATTAGGAATTACTGAATTTTGGGTGACTTTTGGCCATCAGAGTTTAAATACTGGCGATTAGGATGCCAGTTATCCTAATAATCCAAAGTGGCATGCTTGAATCATCATTACTTTAATTTCTCATGATTACTAATGCTAGATTTTAGTTTCTTGGACTTACTAGAGTAATAAATGCTTCTCTCAAAGTATCCTACCTGCTTGCTGCATCTTCCTGCTGGGGAGGGGAGGTGGGAAAAAACAAAACAAAACACTGTACTGACTACTAAGCCTTCACTTCTTCCATTCATTTTTGAATTTATTTACTTCTAGCCGCACTTTACATGTACTCCTAAACCACCGCAATATCAAATATTTATATATGACTTTCCAAGAAATAGATGCCTTGACAGTAGTCAGAACTCAATATTCACTTGCACAAAGCAACTGCATTCACTTCCAGAGGATTTCTAAAGAAAAGACATTTGTATGTTTGTACCTATGGAATCTAGTTCAGTCTAAATTCCCTGGCACTTAGGGAGAATGCTGGCTGCATTGCCAAAGGATTTCCAAAAACGAAATCTGATATCAGACCTTGTGATAGATGGAGTCTCTTTGAAAAGGGCCTCAGAAATTTTTGAATCTTTGTAGGATTTTTTTTTTTCATTAACGCACAGGCACACAGAGTCCTTAATTTGTACCTTTCTAACTTTGATTAATATCATCCCATGTTCCACTGTCCTGTACTCAAAGGAATTGATTTGGTGCTTTTATTCCATTAACTGCTGAGTGATTAGAATTGTCTTACTTAGTTTCTTGGCAGGTTGTACAAATCATTACTGGAATTAGGAAAGTAATTTGAAGAAGCATTGGTATGTAGGTTTAGCAGTAATAAGAATAAAATGATAGTTAAGAAAAATTTCAAAGATAGCATATACAAGTTAGCACTCTATCTGCAGAGTCAACTTATCATAGATTGAAAATATTTTTTAAAAATTGCTCTATACAAAAGCATGTACAGACTTTCCCCCCATTATTCTCTATAAACAATACAGTATAACTTCATAGTACTTACATTACTTTAGGTATTATAAGTTATCTGGAGCTAATTTAAAGAATATGGGAGGATTAGCACAGATTGTATGTAAATACTACACCATTCATGTCAAGGACCTGAGCACTAGATTTTAGTATCTGCAGGAGTTCCTGGAACCATACCTTTGCAGATAATAAAGGATGACTATAGTAAGGAATGTTTGAAGTGTTTTTGAAGTTATTAAATTTTAGCAGAACTAATCACTAAAATACAAATCTTAAAAATAATAAAAACTTCAAGTGCCTAGAAGCAATAAAACAAGAATATAATTTTTCCAAAGCATTTAGCAAGAGTTTTCTCATATAACTAAAGGCCAGTGCTCTTTTCTCTGGCTACTACCAGTTTATATATTATAAATGATTCTCATATATATTTATAGCAGCTGTCAAAAAAGTTGTCTTATGTTTTGCTTTGGAGTACTTTTTTTTTCAAATTCTTACATATTTAAAAATTTCAGAGAAAGAAGGTCCAGAAAAGAAGAAAACAAAAAAGGAAGCTGGAAATAAGAAATCCACACCAGTTAGCATTCTTTTTGGTTATCCACTATCTGAACGAAAGCAGATGGCACTTCTTATGCAGATGACAGCAAGAGACAACAGTCCAGGTGATACCTAACATCATTAAGTTAATTTGTAGTATAATCTAGTATATGTATGTTTGTACCTATGGAATCTAGTTCAGTCTGAATTCCCTGGCACTTAGGGAGAATGCTGGTTGCATTGTGTTGACAGTTACTCTTAACTATTTTTAATTTTTATTCTTTCTTAAATTTAATCAGAATTACTTGTAACATCAGTTTGTAATGTTATAATTTATCTGTGTGAAAGTTCATGATCTGAATCCTCCCCTAGAATAGAAAGTGTATAAGAGCAGGGATTCTTTTCCTCACTTTTCATAAGTAGATAATTGTTAAATAAAATGAGTCATTTAGAAATAGGTTAACAACATGGGAAATTCATGGCAAAACTGTGCTTTTACCTTACTAATGATTTATCCCAATTTCGGTAAAAATGTTTTCTATGCTTCCAGTTCACTGCTCCCCTGCTGTTTAAATTGGCAGTTTTGTTATACATTGCTTCTCTCTGACTGATACCGGAAAGTATCTGGAGAAAAAAAAAATTTGGCTCTGAATTTAAGGCATCTTTACATAAGAATATATTGATGAAGAAATGTATTGAAAAAGAAAATTTTTCCAATGAACTTTTCTTATACTGACTCTTAGTGGGAGTAGGGATTGGGGGTAAGCACCTGGGGACATGATGGTTAAATTCTTAGTGTTTCTAAGTATCCTGATTTCAATCAAAGTATGAGCCTATCTAATATCTTTCACTCCTACAAATGTCGTAGATCCTTGTGCTTTTTAAAATAGTGTATTTTTGGATTTTTGTCACCTTTTCTGCCAGTAACTTGGGTAGAAGAGTGGTCAAATTATTTGACACTGTTACAACTTTAAATGTTTCTGTAAAATGTTAAATTACAAAGACTTATTTTGTAAAAATGGCTTTTTACAACATGAACTTTTGTCTTCAGAATATTAAAGAATTAATACATTAAGACAAAGAGTAGAAGTCTTCTTTATCTCCAGTGACTCCCTTTGAGAGGAGTCTCTTATCTATATTTCCAGGGAATTTTTAGGCATAAATATACATTTTTTGGTTGTTTTATTTTTTCCTAGGGTAAATACAATTACACAATAACATTGTTGTTCTGTTGGCTCTTTTCATTTAAGGATAATTCATTTAAGGATAATTCCTTGTCATTTTTTATTATTAATATATATATATAACTGGAGTAGAAAGCTTGACATCAAGCTGTGTTACCAAACAGATGTACTTGGAGGTTAGGATTGATTATCCATTAATTTGGTCCTTTAGTTTTTAAGAAAATCAACAAGATAACTGTCTTAAAAATTTTACTATAAAGTGTATAATAAAATTTATTCATTTAGCAAAGTTTTCTTGAGTTACACTATGTAGCAAGAAGTCTTCGAAACAGTTGCAAAAGATAGTTGATGAATAAGAGAGATGAAATTCTTACTCTTATGGGAGTATACATTCTAGAAATAAGTAGAAAACTGTTACTGAGACAACATACTTCAAAATCCAAACTGTAAAACTTTACTTTTTTATTGATATTGCTTTAGAACTCCATAATTATGTCAATTTGCAAGATTGATGATGGAAAATTATTTTCCGAGATTGTTTTTTCTTAGTGTATTAACTCTTTTAAGTAGCTATAAAATTTCAGAATTAATTAATATTGTCATACCTTTAATTAAGAAAACATCATCCCATTCTCCCTGCCCTGTGGTTCTAAAAAGAGAGAGAGGGGTGCCTTGGCCATCATCTAGTTAAGCTTTCCTGATTTTGACATAAAAACTAGAATAGAAATCAAAAGTTGGGGATCAAAGCAAAGAATAACATCTATGGGATTTTTTCCATTTGCCCTTATTTCAGAACTTTAGCTTTATTTTCATACTAAGATCATCTCTAACTTAATTTGCATTCAACATTAGAACAAAACTGCAGTGCTTTTGAGTTAGAGATATGAACTTTGGCCTACAATTTAATTTTATCTAGGTGTTAAACTAATAGTATAAAGTACTCAGGAAAAATACAGTTGTTTGCAGTTCATTGATTATTCATTAAACAGATACATTTAAGGTATATACTTGATACTTATTATTATCATTTTAAACCAGTTTTATAAGTTGACAGAATGTTTCTCATCAACTTGTTATCTTTGGTAGTCCTTTTTACTCTATGTATTTGTGTAAATTTATTAATGTATCATCCACGTCAAGTTTTGTGGTGTTAGAAAGTTCTAGCAATAGACACATTATCACTAAGAATCATTTAGTAAATATATACAATATTTAGCCTAGAACCTTTGTGAACTTTTTTCTTATAGACTCCACACCAAACCATCCATCACAAACAACAGCAGCCCAAAAGAAAACTCCCAGTTCTTCATCTCGACAAAAAGATAAAGTTAATAAAAGAAATGAGCGTGGTGAAACTCCTTTACACATGGCAGCTATTCGAGGAGATGTGAAACAAGTCAAAGAATTAATAAGTTTAGGAGCAAATGTGAATGTGAAAGATTTTGCAGGTAAGATTAAACTCAAGAATGATATTCAGGATCTAATATTGAAACAGATTCTTGTTACAGTTTTATTTATATTTATTTTGCAAAAGAGTTCTGAAAATATATTTTATTACAATACTTTTGCTGAATGTGCATAAAACCTTCTTCTCTGCTGTATTTTTTGTCAATAATTACATTTTTGTATATTGAACTTAAATTTTAGTTGACATTACTATATAATTGTTTTTAAATTTTGGTTCTATCCAAAGTAAATTTGAGTACATGATGTTTTCAAAGCAGTTAATTCATTAATAATTCTTGAGAAACTTTAACTTGAACATGAAGATTGTAAAAGAGTGGCATTATTTTAACTTTAATTATTCAAATAATATGCCAATGTATTTTTACTATGAAGAATTCAAATAATAAATGTTGACAGAGAATAATATAGAAATTCTTRTTAATTTCCCATCTTATACTACTCTGTTTCCCTTCTGCTTTTTTTTCTTCCACAGAAATGGTATTAATAATTTGTAGGTTATTCTTTCACTATTTTCATGATCATATGTAAATATGAACATTTACTTACAAGCTTTTTTTTTTTTTAAATGTTATTATTCCACCTGTGGTTCTGCAGCCTGTCTGTAATTGCAGGTATTTCTTTCAGTACAAATAGGTAAATTTACTTCATTTTTAACAGCTTCATAATATTATCATTCGTGAACACTGTTGTAAAACCAACTTTGTGGGCTGAGGTTGTGACTCAGATATACAGTGCTGCCTAGCATGCGTGAGGCTCTGGGTTCTCCTCAGCACCACATTGTGTCCACTTGTAACTAAAAACCAAAACAAAACAAAAAAACAACTTTGTGTGTAGCTTGGAACTGTTTTAGTAGAATTGAAACTGTTGTTACAACAAAGCAAATGCACATTAAAATGTTTGAAATAATGGCAGACTGCCCACCAAAATAATGATCCTGTGTCAGTTTATACTACCATCAAGAGTCTGTCACTCAACTTGAAGATATTAACTTAATTATTAATGATCTAATAATTTAAAATTTTAATTTTGATATCCATAATCAGTAATGGTAATGTTTCTTATAAATTTGCATATATCTTGCATTTATCTTAAAATTGTATGTTAAATTAATATTCTAACTTTAGGTTGGACACCACTGCATGAAGCTTGCAATGTTGGATATTACGATGTTGCTAAGATACTTATAGCAGCTGGAGCAGATGTTAACACACAAGGATTAGATGATGACACTCCACTCCATGATTCTGCCAGTAGTGGGCACAGAGATGTAAGTATGATAGAAGAAATCAATAATGTACATTTCCATCATAGATTTCAACCCAGGATAATTTAGCTTACTTCTTAGTTGTACGATCTTGTGTCCCTTTTTTTCCTAACTGCTACTTTATAGTCAGATGTAGCATTATCTTTTTTTTAATTTGTTTTACTTAGTAATACATGAAAGTACAGTGATCTTGACATATCATACATTTAAATCAGATGGGATATAATTTCTCATTTTTCTGAGTATACAGGTTGCAGAATCACATTGGTCATGCAGTCATATATAGCATTATCTTTTAATCTTTGATTTGATAATTGATTGTTAAAACAGTTTGGAAGAAATTTTATTTTAAGACATTGTAGTGTCAGATAACCAAATGTGGTTAAAGCACATTTTACTTATAATAATACTTTTACAAAATTGGACTATGTATCTTTTGGAAAGCATTTTTACCTTAGACAAATGGAATTCAGAGTGAAGAGAAGTATGAATTGAATTCTGACCTTACTAGTTTACAAGCTTGTGATCTTGAACAAGTTATGTCTCTCCTCTATTCTTCCATTTCATCTTAAAATTATATAATAAATAATACCTATCTAAGGGGAATTTGGTTAAGGAAAAGAAGACACTGCATGTAAGCACACCTTAAACTCTTAAAATATTGTAGAAATATCAGGGGGAAAATTAAAACTATACCTGAATTGTTACTTCAAATATACTCAAATATTTTAGAAACTAAAATTTAGATTAAAAATGCTATTTTCCTTATTTATAATTTTATAATATACTTTTCCATGTTACTCATTAAGTTCTATTAAAAGGAAAATGTAACCTTTATTGTTTTCTCTAAACTGGACTTGTTTAATATTTGACCTTTCTTTCTGCTGCATCAACAATTGGTACATATCTATGTGATACCACTTTTTTCTTCCTCTTTACTTACTTATTGTCATGTTTCCTGTGCTAGTCTGTGAATATCATACATACAGGCATTTTGTGTTTTCTCTCTGATCCTGGAAATGTTTGTTGCAAAGAAATAATAAATTTGGCATGGGTGCATGGATAGATAGGTGGATAGATAACTGAGGACAGGCAGAAGGGCAAAGGCTTAGTCCATAAGGCCGGACAAAATATAGAAGGCATTGCCCTTTCCTCTGACTTTATCAGAAGAGATGTGTTTTCTAGCTAATACCATACTTTACCATTTTTTTTAAAAATGCATTATTAATAGTTTCAAAAAATTAATAACTTTCCTTTAAATGTGGTATATAAAGGTTTCTTGATTTCCAAGTGTAATTTAAAAGAATTATGCCTTGTGACTAAGACATGTTTGTTTACATGAGTACAAGTTTCTAAATATGTACATAGCTGCAAAATATTTCTAGAAGCTGACCTTTTGGCTCATGTACTAAAATGGATTCAAACATTGTTTACAGTCTCTTTCTGAGCAAGATTGGCATGCTATTTTCAAAAAGACCTTTGCTTTTCCTCCTACCAACAAGCCTAGGATAGTAGTAGTCCCAATTTGAGAGCTATTTTCTCTTCGTTGTTTTTACTTGAGCCTAAGGAAAAGAGAATTGAGATCTACCAACAACTCTCAATTCTGCATACAGATATATTAGGTCTTACGAGCCTCTCCCTAAGGAATTGGATTTCTTTTATTCAGAGATAGCCATGACAACTTCAACTATCCATTAAAAATTCCTAATGTGGAAGAAGCAGAAACATAGCTTCTTTACAGCGAGGTCTAAATTATTTAGAATAAGAAAAGATTAACCTTGCTTCCAATTAATGTATTCCTTGACCTGCTGTATAAGTGTATTATACCTCACAATACATAATTTTATACTAGTCTTAGTTCTAGTTGTTTGGTATCTATCATTTTTGTCTTATCATTTTTACATACTTCTAGTTTGTTGCCTGTTAGAAGTAACTTTAATTTACCTTAAGTCCTTTTTAGAATAAATATCTGCATATGAGAATGATGTCTATAAAATATTGGCTATTAAAATTTTTGCATCATGCTTGAATCTGTACTTGACTCATCATCTTAGACATGTACTCTATATTTATTGATCGTTTCCTGGTGCATAGGACACAATGTCAGGATCCTTTTTTCTGGTTTCCCATCCTAGGGCTTTTTTCTAAGAAAATAAACCTTAAAATGGAAAACATTTCAGCTCATTAAAATGTTCACTACAGTGTTATTTATAATGATTAGAGGGTTTTTTATACTTTATTTAACCTTCTCAAATGTCTTTCCTAAGTGAAATTTTAAAAGACATGGACCCACAATGATAAAGAGCAGAAGAAATGGAAAAGCAAGATTTTAAAAGGTGGAAATTAAATATATATATAGTTGCAGTACAGGGTTTGACAGACTTTTTCTATAAAGGTTAAATCATAAATATTTTAAACTTTGCACCTTTTTTCTACTCTTCCTTTTTACTCTTTCCTCTTTTCTCTTTTAACAAAACTTTAAAAATATGAAGGCCATATTTTGTCTACCTCTGATATAGGAGAGATAAGAACATTGAAACCAAAGGCATTGTGGCACAGAATTGTAGAGAAACTGAAGCTCAGGAATTGATGGCATCATTTGCCTCTGGAATTCTTTGTTTGGACTGCAAATAATATAATTGAATCAAAGTTTTGTTTGTTTTTTCTTTTATAGCTCCTCCCCAATCCTACATAGCCAGGTGATTTCTCCTCTTGTAACTGGTGTAGATGTTTCCAATATGGAGCTAAGGATCAGGAATAATTGTTCTTCAGTAGCAGCTTTGGAAAGCTAGTTGATATTTTAAAATGATAAATACTTGTAATTTAATAATCATAAACATGAATAAAATATTAGCATTTGGAGTCAAAAGTAAATTGTTATCTCTATACATTCTAACATTTCAAATTTTCTGCAAAAATAGTCAAGAATATTTTTTCATTTAATTCATTGTGAATCTTCATTCTTAAATAATTTGTTTGAAACTCTAGATTTACAGTATCTTTTTAAATTATTATTTTAGTGGTCAATGTAGTTAATACTCATCTGTTCATGTTATTTGTTTAAACAGTCTTTTAAATTATGTATTTTCTAAGTATACAAAAACACCATTGTTAATTGTTGGGAATACAGAGAGTAATATATTTAAGACTTGATCCCAAGTGAAGCTTATAGTCTATAATAAGGGGGAAATATATATTAATAAATTTTAATGTGGGTTTGTGTCACATAGAACACATCAATGTCAGTGGAAGTAAAAGATCAAAATAAGAAGAGATGGGAAGGAGTCACAATTGATAATAGTTGGCTAACTCTGGTAAATGGGTAGATTTCACTAAGAATGGCAAGGTTAAAGGTACAAGTTTTAATAAACTTAATTTGAAACTCGTTGATTTGGGGCTTTTGTATTGAAATACACATATACTCAATTGGATATATCCAATGAACATTTGAATATTTGGGTTTAGCATTAAGAGAACAAGAGAATGAAAATGAGTGAATTGTATATTGATCACATTCTGTCAGAATAGGTGAGAACACTAAAGAGGTGATACATATTAAAGTTTGAAAAAGTAGATCAGGGATAGGTACTTCATAGGACTGATGCAGGCAGGTAGAAGAGTGAAGAGCTATTTTAAAAAGAGAAGGCTGCAAAGATAAACATTTTTTCAGGAACTTGATTTTTTTGTTGTTTTCTTTCTTTCTTTCTTTYTTTTTTTTTTTTTTGGTAGTACTGAGTATCTAATCCAGGCCTTTTGCATGGCAGGCAGACTCTTTACCACTCAGCTACACGCCCAATTATTTTTTATTTGATTTTGAGACAGAATTTCCTAAGTTTCCCAGGCTGACCTCAAACTTGCATTTCTGTTGCCTCAGACTCCCAAGCATCTAGGATTAGGAATATAGTTTTGAACACAGTTTTTTCTTTGTCTTTGTTTCATTTCTTCATTGACATTATTTTTTTTTTAAGGTAGAAGAGACATGAACTGAAAAGATTGTCTTCTAGATAGAAGCCAAACTAAAAGGGTTTCAAAAATAATGAAAGGAAGAGTAAAAGAAAAGAAATGATGATTAACTAGACAGATCCTGGTTTTATGATTCCTGAAGTTTGATGGGAAGAAGGGATCCTTTTTGAAAAAAAATTTAAAGAATGATTACAAAGTCAGATTAAGGAATTGTAAGGTTCCCATGAAAATGAAAGGCCTTAAAGTCTAAGCTTCATTAGATCTAAGTAAAATGTGTGGGCATATGACAGATGAAATTCCTGGGAGATGAGGAAGAAAGGACCATTAGGGCATTAATACACTTATAATAGTATTAGCTTTAAAAAGAAGGGAACTAGATCCTTTGTGATTTCTACTTGAATTTCCACAATTCAAGTGGCTATGTTATTACTCATTGATTTTTCTGAACCTGAAATAGTACTTATTAATAGATATTCAAATTCTTATTGATTTTTATGATAAAACAGGAAGAAAAACAATGAAATTAAGCATTAGCCCCTGTTTAAACTTCAAGGCAGAAGTTTTTTTAGTAGATGCCAGTCTTCACATGGAAGCAGGTGTCAGTGAAAATGGAACTGGAAGAGAATAATGATTTAGAATAGGATGCAAGTATTGGATGGAGAGTAGAATTAACACTGGGAAGAACATTGTGTTATCAAGAGAATGATCAAAACGATATCATCTATAAAGAGACTAAATCTTCCTACCACTTAATGTTGCAGATAGTGAAACTGTTGCTTCGTCATGGTGGAAACCCATTTCAAGCTAATAAACATGGGGAGCGCCCAGTGGATGTAGCAGAAACAGAGGAATTGGAGTTATTGCTAAAAAGAGAGGTGCCTTTGTCTGATGATGATGAAAGTTATACAGGTTGGTTTTAGATAATTTATATTCAACTGTTTAACTTTTAGTAACTCATACTGGATTGATTTTTTAATACATAAAATTTAAATACTGTAGAATAATGCTTTCTAGCTCTTATTAGAATCTTAGCTACCTAAAAATGATGTAGTCAGTAATCTAGGTTTTTGCTACACATACCTTTTATGAATGGCGTCATAGTGCTTTCCACCCTTTTTCTGTATTTTCTCTACAAAATTGCTGAGCTATTCCTTTATTATATTCAAGTATATTGTAGATCCTCTCCCCATGCATAGCTGCTCCCCTGACTTCTTTTCAGTCTATTCTGTATTATGCCCCTAAAAAGCAAATCCTGTCTTTTTCTGGCATTAATGAGTCATCTTCACTCTGGACATTGTTGTAGGGTAGGGGCAATTTCCTTATAAATTGTTTTTAAAAAGAAAGAGCCAAAAGAATATAACAATTTTTTTTGGTTATGTTGAAAAAGTCTGTGTATATAGGTGGAAAAGGTTCAATCATATTTCAGACAAAAATCAATGAAAAAGAATTCTAAGCTGGACACTGAGGTGCACACTGGTAATCCTAGCAGCTCAGGAGGCTGAGACAGGAGAATGGTGAGTTCAAAGCCAGCGTCAGCAAAAGCAAGGTACTAAGCAACTCAGTGAGATCCTGTCTCTGAATAAAATACAAAATAGGAATGTGGTTCAGTGGTCTAATATCCCTGAGTTCAATCCTCAGTTCCAAAAAAAGGAAAAAAATAGAGTTTTTTCAATCTATGGCCATATCCTCAAGAGCTTAAAGAATTCCTGTAAGCAATTAGATGTTACCTAATTGCATCTCAGAAATTTTGAGAGAGCAATAGACAGGCATCTATAGTTGGAAGCAGAGAAGTTCTAGTTTTTATTTTACATGATACAACTTTATTTTTCACCTGAGAGGACAACCAAAAGAACCCACCTTCTGAATAATACATCTTTACTGCCTTGCTGAACATAACTTAGTTGCAAATATACTCCAACTGATTAGGAGATGGTGCCAAATTATGATAAATAGAATAAGGAATTTCAGAAATAAAAGATTCAGCAGTGAGCACTTACCACAAAAGAGATATTTAAATAATAGCTATAGATATCAAATTGACTATAAATGTGAGATCACATAAGAAAAATAAAAACAATTGAGTTTAAGTATCAAGTTAAAACCTTTGGGAAGAGACAACACTAAAGGTTTAGTAAAATTGTATTTCAAATATGAAAGGTTGTATAATGACTTATTCTATGGTAGTTGAATAAATATCAGTTACAAATGCTTTTGAAAATGCAAGAATTATCGTATTAATATTGGATAAGAATTGGATAAGTCAGAAACTAGTCCATGGTAGCAAGATGATAATTTTGTGGTAATAAAGGACATATCATTCAAAGCTGAGAATTATGTAAATATGTAAAACGTAAACTTAGAAATCTATGGTAAAATTGACAGAAATGTAGTCCTACTTCGAATCTGCAGCATTGTTTCCAGCATATTATGAATATCTCAAAATTGTAGACAGTGTGTACATAACTATTAATACGTACAGGATGAGCCAAAATAGTGCTATATTTGATAAAAGTTCGTAGCTATCATTAAACTTTTTTAAGAAAATAAATAACTTTAGGAAATCAGAGAGAAGAAAGAAAGGTAAAATATTAATAATGAGCAGAGTCCAATGGTGAAAAATAAATTTTCTAGGTATTGTTTCTAAGTATAATTTCTTTCTTAAAAAAACTTATTTTCTAATGTTTCTAAGTAGAATAGTGGAATGAAGTTTATTAAATAGTAGCTTATCTGACAAGATCAACTAAATCAATAAACAGTAAATCTAATCATTGGAAAATGAGTGAAAATTTATAAACATAACTCAAGAATGATGGATAGAGACCCCAAAGTGTGAAAGATGCTTTTAGACTTTAGCACAGTAATATATGTAGATCTTACCAAAACAATTAAAAGGACATATACACACAAATTCAGAGAACAGGGATACCAAGAGAAGCGGCTACAGGGGGAGACAGACAAAAGGAGAGAGAGGGGACAGGAGAAAGATTAGGCAGGTACAGAAAAAGTCAAGTTGTCTTGCAACTCTAACTCATTTTAACATATAAAATTATAAAGAACTGTTTTCTGCTTTTTCTAAGCCAGTGAAATGCTGATCCTTAACTATAAGACAGGAAGCCTACCAATAGAAATATTCAAAACAGGCTCCACTATAACATAGTACCTAGCATACAGAAGTACTTAATAAAAACTGCCATATAAAATTGCTAAAGGCTTTTAAAAGATAGTTTTCTGCCATTGGTGAACTTGTGGTGACTCTTATTGAGAGGACTCATACATTCTTTTTGACTTTCTAGAAAATCATTTTTTAAATGTATGAAAAATTCAGAAAGATGTAGCTGGAAATGCTGGCAGTATGTGTATAAAGCCATTATTATAGTAGTTCTTATACTAAAAATTTTAAATGAACTAAGTGCCCCAAAATGAGCAGAGAAATAATTTTAAAGCATATGTAACTTGTATAGCTGTTTAAAATTGTTTTTAATTATTTTAATAACATTATAAACTGGCTTCTTTATTGTGTRTATTTCAAAATAAAAGGTAAACTACATTTAATTAAAAGAAAGTGCTGTGGCCTTCTTAAATAAGTAAACTGCTTAGTGATATGGAGAAAATAGACCTAATTAAAATATTTATTAATTTAAATGTACTCATTTGAAATCGCATACATATATTATTTGGAAGTACTGTTTTTGTTACTGCTCTACTGTCTTATGAAGTGACCTTTAAAAAAATTTTTTAGTCGTAGATGAACACAATAACTTTATTCACATCCAGAATCTTAGATACGTTGCACTTTCAAAATCTAGATATTATGCTAACATGAGAAAATTATCTCAAGTTATAATTACTCATTTAGCAAACACTCTTTACAGTCTTTATAAACCATTTTTCAAAAAAAAAACTCAGTATCATGAAAATATTTAAACACATAGCAAAATTCTAATAATGGTACAGTAAATACTTACATCCATCAACTAATTTTATAATTGTTAACTTTTGCTGCTTCCTTTATTACATTATTACATAATCTCCAATTTATCTCATTTTTTATGCATTTCATTATAAGTTGCATACATCCCTAAGTACTTTAGCATACATTTCATTTGAGTTCAATGTTTGATCTATAATTTTTAGTAATATTTGCATTGTGAAACTTGCAACTCTTGACTGTAATATTCTGTGGATTTTCAGAAATGCATTGAATTGCAGTCTAACCCCTTCAAGGTAACAAGATGCCTTCACACTCCAGAAAATTCCCTCATCCTCCTTTCCGAGTCAGTTCCCTCTCCTACAGTTGATCATTTTATACCCATCATGATAAAAATGGTTAGCAAAGAATCACTCATGACTTGAAAAATATAGGAGGAATTGTGAGCAAATTAGCCTTTTCTCAACAAAAGAGAGGGAAGAAGAAAACAAACCAATCAGGGTGTAGTAGAGAAATATAGCAGCACCTAGATTGTGTGATCAAAATTAACATCATCCCAGAAGGGAAAGATGTTCATAATGTACTTCCAGATATAATATCCTGAGAGGGTATATAATACCACTTTTTAGTTCACAGCTGCTTATATATAATCATGATGAATGCTTGTTTTTTTAAAACAGAGACAGGGTCATGATATGAAAGATTAGAAATGGCAGTGATAATGAGAAAGATTATTTTCATTATTCAGTAAAGACAATAAAATGTTTCATACTATGAGATGATAATAAAGGGCAATACTTGCTATAAACTAGATCCTATACTAGATGGGGAAAATGATTATGAAGAATATTATCAGGTAGTTTAACAAGGAATATGGACAGGAGATTAGTCTTATAAGATGGACAGTTGTATTGTGGTGACATACAAGGACATTTTTATGTCTTAGCAAATACTTATTTCCTTAGTACACATGAGTATAGTGCTGTGATGCATGCAATTACTATCATAAGCTTCAGAAAAATATATTTACATGTGCATGTGTAGATAACAAAAGAAAAAAATCATAAAGCAAGAGAGTAAAAGCTTAATAATATAGAAGTCCAGATAGATAATGGATATATAATGTTTAATATTTTTAATTTTTCTTTTTGTAAGTTTGTAATTGTTTCCAAATAAAATTTAAAATGTATACATACACAACAATTTCCTTGCTCTGTCAATTAAAAAGACTTAAGAACATTAAGACAGTAGCAATAATCATTTCTAATTCTCAGATTATGATTTTAAAAACATTTTCTACTAAAAGAAAATGAAGACTTATTTAGAAAAGGATGATTCCAAACCAAGAGTAGGAAATATGTAAGKTGAGAGTAAAGCATCTTTTCATTTCCAGATTTCAAGGAAGGAATCAAAGATTAATATGAAGTCTTGTCAGAAGGCCTTAAGAGATACTTGGGGCCCTCTGGTTGTAGCTGAGTGGTAAAGTGTTTGCCTGGCATGCATGAGGTCCTGGGTTTGATTCCCAACAATACAAAACAAAAATAGGAGACAACTCGGAGCACTTTCCCACTGGTCAAAGATGGAATTTAAGCTCGGAAAAGGGTATTAATTACAAAGGTTTGGAACCCATCAAATATGGTTAAGTCCATGAGCTTATTATGATAACTTAAAAACAATCTGTCATCAGAAGACAATGAAGTATTTATTTAACTCTAAAATTAAGAAATAAAGAGAAAAATAATTTTTCTTTCCTCTGTGAACTTCTGTCACTGGGTAACTTCATTGAGGGTAAGGAAAAGTATTTTTATAAAATTAATTCAGTTAAAATAAGTGGAAAAAAATTAAAATATGAACATCTTACAACCCCCAGTTTAATATATCTAAGCTTTAATTATCAGCAGTTGCTAACATTAAATAAAAAGTGAGAAAGCAAATAAGAAAACATGTGCCATGGATGAAAGAACATGTTAAACTCCCTCTG